AGTAGCCTTGACCTAGTACGGGTCCTTCTCATTTTTAGCATGTCCAAATACACATCTATCAACAAGTCTCTCAAGACTTGTCATTCTAATATACACTGTTTGGGATTAAATGGGGGGTTGGAAAGCCTCATCTTCCTGGAAATTTCACAAAGGGATTAATTGCTTTGTTTCTTCTCATTGTAGAACTTCCTCTAAGATATAAATGGTCCGAGATAAGCTAATGGATAATGTAATCTGATTTGTTCTCCCAGTAATGGGCCAGATAGCAAATATATTAAGCTTTCTGGGACATATGGTCTCTGTCTCAATTATGCAACTCTTCTGTTGTAGCACAAAAGCAGCCGCAGAAAACATCAAATAACAAACAGGCAGCCATTTCAATGAGTGCCAAGAATCCAGTGGGGGAAAAAAATAGTCTTTTCAACAAATAGTGCTGAGACAACTGGATATCCACACACCAGAGAGTGATGCTGGACCCTTCTCACATCATAAACAAAAACCAACTCAAAATGAAGCATACACCAAAATGTAAGAGCTAAAGTTATAAAAGTCTTAGAAGAAAATATGGGAGTAAACCTTTGCGACCTTGGGTTAAACAAAGCCTTCTTAGATATGAGAGCAAAAGCATAAGTGACAAAAGAAAAATTGATAAATTGGGCTTTATCAAAATTCAAAACTTTTGTTCTTTAAAGGATACTCATCAAGAAAATGAAGAGACAAACCACAGAATGGGAGAAAATATTTGCAAATCATATATATCTGATAAGGGACTTGTATCTAAACTATATAAATAACTCTTACAACTCAATAATAACCAAATAACTCAAATTCAAATGGGAAAATGAGGGCTGGCCGAGTGGTGCGTTGGTTGAGTTGGCTTGGGATACCAGCTCTGAGCAGCAGGGCCCTGGTTCGGATCCCACATGAGGGCCAGTGATGCTGTGCCCTCTACAGCTAAGATGGTGAACAACAGCTCGACCTGGAGCTGGACTGCTGTGAGTCACTGGCAGCAGTATAGGCTNATAAATATAATAACAGTATGCAGAGGAGCTCATCTCTCTACCAGAATGTTAAAAGGATACGTTCTTGAGAATAGGGATTTAATACAGTTAATACTTTTTACTGTTCAACAAGAACATTTTTAAATAAAATTGGAAATTTTTTCTCTATTGCCAGTGCATGACAGTGAGGAATATAATGATTCTAGTGGAGTTAGTTATCACTGCCTTGATTCATACTATGGTGCTAGTTTTTTGCCCATCATTGATTTTGCACCAGCAGTGCAAGTGTCGACAAGTAAAAGGGCAAAAAAACACCCCCCAAAACTAAACAACAACAGCAACAACAAAAAAACCCATAAAACAAAACAAAAAAACCTTTAACCTTAGTATTATTATAAAGCTATGTTTGAACTCGTGGACCTCATGAATGCATCTTAGGGGCCCCCAGGTATCCATGGATCACATTTTGAGAATCACTAGGCTAGAGAGACATCAATATAAGTATGAGTGGTGATCATTAAATCCATAGTTACATGTAGAGCTAAGACTAGATAAGGACTAAAAAAGAAGAGAGTGTAGTATATAATGGGTATACACTCTGACAATGTACGAGTAAATAGAGTATAAATATAAAAAAATAAAAGGAGAATTAGAAAGCATATATAAAAAGTTTTTAAATGTTTGCAGTAATCATACTGGTGTTAGTAGTACTAATATTGTTATTCTGAGACTATTACGTGTTTGATGAGAGATAGAGCAAATGATATTTATGAGATATTCTAATTTTGTCATCTCTGATGTCTGAGAGCTAGGATTTCCATTTTGAAGAAAGGAGGTAAAGCTACGATAGAAAAAATAGATAAAAACTTTATAGTTATGATTTTGAATTGGAAGTATAGTCTGAACATGTTAGGCACTTTTTTAATATATGTGTATATGTATACATATCATGTATGTAATTATGTAATATGTATGTCTGTGGGCAGAGGTTTATATCTACTAGCCCTGTCTACCGAAGGCCTAGAAATAATGACAAACCAGTAGCAATGAGCACCACAGGTACCTAGATTTTGGTCTTGAAATATCATTTCCCACTAAAAGAGCTTTTTGGAAATTGGACTCTTTGGAAATTGGCTGATTCCAGGCTTGGGGCAGGAAGCATAAAAAGAGCCTGGAAAATCTTGACATACCAAAAAGAAAGAAAGCTATCCAAAACTATAAAGGTCATGTCAAAATGACTAAGAAGGCAAATTGGAGCTTCCACTGGCCAAAGATGGGAAACAATCATTACAAACAAATACAAAGAACAATGACAATGCATTGACCTCCTGCACTAGATTTAAATATATGTGTGCATAATTATATTTTTAAAATGGCATCAATAATATTTACAATAGGAAGAGGAGGAGGAAGAGGAGGAGAACTCACTTTTAGAGCATAAGAATCTGTTTCATTATTTAAAAAACAAAACAAAAAAAAACCCTAATAAATAAAGGAAAAGACTCAAGCAGCATTTATCCTGCCTTTTATTTATGAAAACTACCACTGGGTTACTAAGTAGTAAATGAGAAAAAGAGGTTTTGGTTTTAATAAAAAGTGTTCCAATTATTAAGTTAAAAAATAATAATGCCACAATATAAATGAACATTGAAGACATTATGCTAAGTAACATAAGGTAGTCAACAACAAGACAAATACTGTGTGATTCCACTTATATGATGTATCTGGAGTAATAAAATCACAGAGACAGAAAGTAGAGTGGGGTTGCCAGGAGGTGCGGTGAGGCAGGAGGAGAAGCTGTTATTTAATGGGTATGGTTTCACTTTTACAAGGTGAAAAAGAGTTCTGGAGATGGATGGTGGTGATGGTTGCCTGGCAATATTCATGCAATTAATACCACTGAACTGTATACTTAAAAATAATTAAGATGGCAAATTTTATGTAATGTGTATTTCAGAACAATAAAAAGTTGTGAAAATATTATAGAATTAGAGTATCACCTTCAAGTGAATTAATAGTTTTAAGAATTGCACTAAGATCACAAAAAGGGAGATAATCAAATATCATAATACAATCTATATATAGCCTTATCAAAGATATCAAACATGAATTTGATTGAGGTCCTAATTTGTAGAAAATAGAGGGCAGAGAAG